AATACATACTTTGATATAGTATAAAATATGTATTAAGATAAAGATATATTATTAATAATAGTTTACCATCTTATTAAACAATTTTTTGGTTTAAATTTGGTTTAATTTAATATTAAAACAAATATTTAAGTATAGATTTAGAATTAATGTTAATACAAAATAAAATAAAAGTTTCATTAATTCAAAAATTATTTATTCATATTTATTTGAATTTAATAAGAAGACATATTGTTTTTATTGCTGTTATAAATTTAATTAACAATATTTTATTAAAAAAACTTAATAAGAGAAATATTTTATTGGATGGAAACACTTGAATTCTAAGTAAAATTAGTAATAAATATTATATACTAATTTTATTTCTAATTCCTCAATTTATAATACATATTAAACTTTTTATTACATAATAATTTTGAAAATTCAATGAATTATTTTATTTATGTAATAAGTTTACCTTAAATGAATATTTATTCTATTTATAATACAAGACATGTAAAGTGTCTTAATAAATAGATTAAAACATTTCTGTTAGCAAATTTAACTTATCTTACATGGAGTTAAAAAAGAAAGAGATTTAATAGCTTACCAGTTTAAATAACTTATCTAAAATTCAGATGCCTCGTTGTAAATTCTACGTTAGCTGGGTTCATTGAATTTTATTTTCGTGCATTTATTTTATTATTTAAGAGATTTTCGTAGAAAAACAAGCTAACTTCGTGATTAATCTTATATTTTTTTAAATAGATTTTTGTATGATAAGTGAATAATCAATTTTAAACTATAATAATCAAAGATAATTTTTAAAAAATGTTTTTTTTTTCTTTAAATGAAAAATTAATATGAAGTTTGCAATTTTAAATATGCTAAAATGTATTCATAAAAATATTTCATGATGGAATTTATAATAAAGAGAACTTAAATCCTGAAGGTTTATTTTTTGGAATAACTTTAAGTGATAAATTATATATCGATAGCTATAAAAACAAATTGCTTGCCCATTTATATGCATACTTATCAGATTTTTCTTGTTACATATTGATTGCAGTATATAGTTTCGACCCAAAAATGCCGCCCAGTAAGCCTCAATCAGTTTGAGATTAGTTTCATATTTAGGTTGAGCTTCTTCAATGATAATGACAATAGCAACTTGAGAGTATCAATTAAACTAGACAGAGTTGCAGATTAATGACAGTGTTTTAAGTACAGTTGAACTTTTTCTCATTAGTTTTCTGGTTAATAGGCTCTTCAAAATTTTGAAATCTTTGCTAGCAAGAAAGTAATAGTTATTGTCATTCCTTGCTGTATTCGTAGGGTTACTTCATATGTTATTAAAAGTTAAAATTACAGTATACTGCAGTCTGCCACAGTAGTTACAGGCGCAATAATGAAGCAGATCACACTTTATGATTTATAGTTTAGAAGAGTTTGCACCTGCATTTCAGTTTTAGAGTGATGCCATAATTTTTCAAGATGAGCTTGCAGCTAAATTTTTATTGGTCTTAGTTTACATAACTAAAATTAATGATTTATAATTATGTTTTAGTGTGTAATAAATTAATGAAATTTATGAATCAAAATGAGAAATCTAACTTTACAGAAATAAATTATTCTCAAATTCTGGGTAAATATTAAGAAAAAAGAAGTAAAGTCGTTATGAGCTAATCATCAAATGCAATTAAATTTTGTTAATTTAGTGTTTATATAATTTTAAAATATTAAAAAAAATTGTTTTTTTTTTAATATACAGTATATATTCTGTTCGAATTCCGACACTTTCATTAATTAATGTAAGAATAAAAAATATGATAAAATAACATTAAAAGGGTTTTATAAGCTAAATTGAAGTTGATTTTTGTCATTAAGTTAGTTGTAAAGTGTATTTAAAATATTTTATTATCTAGACATTTTTAATCTCTATAATTAATTTTAATACTAAATTTATTAGCAGATTTTTAAAATTTATTTTCAGCATAATTACATAAACTTCTTTGCTTATTTTATTAAATAAGAATAGATCTTTGCAAAATTCATTGTCTTTATTTTAAGATAATATTAGTTTATCCACTTTTTAATATGGAATATTAATAACCATAATTTAATTTTATTGAGAAACTCCTGATGAGACAAATAAAATTTATCTACCTCTGGTATTCATATTCTGAATTTCTATAAGTGCTCTGAAGATATATTTTTCTATAGTATTACAGTGAGTAAGGATCTAAGCTTTTTTTTTTTAATACTTCAAATTACCTCCCATCTATTGGAGCTATCTATTGAAAGATAAGATAAGTAAGAGAAAATTAAAATAAAAGATTTATAAAATTATCAATTACTATAAAAGTATAGTATATATAAATTATGCCTCTAAGCCATTATAAGCATATAAATAATTAGTATCTGAATATTCAAATAACATGTAAATTAATCAGTAGTTTATATATTTTATATATAACTTAAATATTAATATACATATTTAACCTTGAGTCATTTTACGATTAAACCTTATCAGAGTTTTATGTTTCTACTTATAAATATATAGGCTATAAATTACTTTGTATATATAAAAGTAGATATTCAGTAAGTTAGTCAGAAAAATCATAAACTCAAATATCTCCGAAGGATGAATTTACCATTAAAGTGAGTGTCTAAATTTGTTAAAATAGCATATTCCCTGAGGATATGTTTATTATTGTAAAAGTACTATGGATAAGTTCATACAGTTTAAAATAGCCATCAACTACTTATGATATATGATAGCTAGCATGCATTTAGTCCAGCATTCATAAAGAAAAAGTTACTGAAAAAATATTTGTTTAAAAAATTATTGAGGAAACTTTAGAGATAAGACACATAGCAGGATTCATTGCGCCTATCTTATATTCATTCGTTATTATTTGATTATCTTATAGATTTTAGATATGATTCAAGGAATATCAAACAACATCTAAAAGATCATTTTTCATCGAAAAATTGTACCTTCCGTACACAAAGTAGTAATTTAACATTGATTCCTTTTTATTTTTAACGGAAAATTTTTTTCTGAAATCCACGCAGATGAGTTTTTACCACCTTACCTGATGTTTAACTCATTCTCCTCTGTAATTTACATCTTCGTGGATTGCAATCCAGACAGAAGGGAACAATAAACGTTCTTGTGCTCAGTGCTTAACGCATGAATTACAGAATTAAGTAAATACATGCTACTGCTACCGTAAAAATGTCAACTGATTTCGAGAATGGAAAAAAAAAACCATTTAAGTCTACAAGAATTCGCATGAAAGAAAATCATAAGCATGACTATGACTAATATCTATTTCAATATATACTGAAATTGTGACTATGAAATTCGAGAAAATATAAATTTAATTAAACATTAATCTAATTAAAATGCCTTTAACTTAGTCTTTCAACCGCAAATAATTTTATTAATCGAATAAACTAAGAATTAATTAATAATAAACGATATCAAAATTACTGATGAAAACCTGTTAATAATTTAGCGAAGCTAGCATTTTTAGATTAAATAATCTATTATGCTAGGTTAGAGATTGTATTAAATGATATCTATGTGATCTGAATAATAATGGTTGGAACATTTAAAAAATTTTAAGTATTATTAAGATTACACGAATCAAAATCGTTTAAACGAGGTTTCTTATAATGTTATAAATAAAAAATAGTCTTAAAAAGCGAATCGAATATTTTAATTTACGAACATTAACGTATTTACTTACATATTATTTTATTATTTATAACAGAATATATTTGAAAATACAACATAAAAATACTGTACTGTACTATACAGTACATAACTTATAAAATTTACAAATCATTGAAAATATATTTGTAAATGATAATTTGTAACTGTCATTTATTCAAACAATCATAAATAACAGAAAAAAATTGTTTTATTTATTTTATAAAACACAGAAAAGTTTATTTTTTTTATTTGATTAGTTTGAATGTTAATGGTTAAAAGTGGATTTTATGACACGTAATAAACTATCCACATCAATTAAATTTTATATTTCACACTTTCAGAAATATAATTTTTAATTAAATTTTTTTCGTTAAAAATAGATTATTCCTTTTCCATAAATCACATTGGTAAATTAACAAAATTCTCTTATATGTGTTAACCATCACACTCTATAGTAAAATTATTAATGTTAAGTACTGCCATCTATAATCATTAATATATAATATATCCGTTAACTACTGCCCTCTAGCTTACAGAATGACATTAGTTTTAAGGTTGAGAAATTGCTTCCCATGATTAATCTACTGACATATTTTTGTTAATTAATTATAAGAATATGTAAAAATCTTAAGTTTTTGCTATATACTATTATCAAACTTTTATTTCTGTATAAACGAAGGTAGTTTGCTACATTTACTTTTTAATGTAAGTAATGAAGACATCAATTGTTCCATTCCATCCAGTATGAAAATTTATTGGCATTTTATAATATCGTTTACAGATAATTAATACATATATTTAACATGTTGAAAATATAAGTTAATTAAGTGTAACTCGTTTCTTATAAATTTCGTTTAAGAATTCGATCATAAAATATAAATGAATGGGTGAATACTTTTACGCTTTACATCGATATTTTAAAAAATTTTAACTTTATTCCGTAACAAATATAATAAACACAATTAATTAAAACTCTTTGCAAGGTGCTAAGCTTCTTATTGATTTTAAAGTCCTTGAAAAATTCTAATTAGAAAGTGTATCTAAAAATATCTTCATATTTATAAATTTATTTGATTATTATTTTTTATAATATGAAAAAATGTATTTATATTTAATTCTGTATTCATAATTAAAATTGAATAAAAAGTTTTATTTTTATATTTAAAAAAAATTAATATATTTAATAAAATAATTGATAAATAATTGCCACCAAGAAAATTATTGGGTATTTTGCCATTAATGGGGGAATATGTATTAAAGAACAATTAAGGCTGCTGTCAAAGGTCAGAAAAATGCTTACCTTCATGGTCCAGAGAGTAGGTGAGAAACGAGACAACGCACCTGCAAGCAATGCGACTTCTTCCACAGGCTAACCGGTTCCAAAACGTTGGCCAAGACTACATGTCTCATAGATATCTTTCACGGAGACAGCACCCTCTCTGCCCCCTCAATGTCGCCTCAATTATTTCCTCATCCACTTGTGGCTTCACAACACCTAAATTTAATTAATATCAGTTGGATTAACGCTTTCTTAATATGCTCGTTAAGAGTGTTACGATTTTGTCACGAAAGGAAGAATCGAGTGCCGCTCTATCAAATAACTGTGCCGTTATTGTAGTGTTTTAAGTTTATTATCCGTGACGAAAAAAAACAAAATTAACTGACTAAAGGGCCTAACCGACATATATTAATGATTTATTGAATTGCTTTTGATTATAAATTTCCATTAATAAATATAAGATCGGTAAAATGATTTTACAATTAATGTACAGAAATAATTTATCATTTTAATCATATTCTTAATTAGATAAGAAAAAGTGAAATTACTCGTTAAATTATCTTCATTTCACATATAATTTAATAATTGATAGCTTTAATGAGTAAACTAATGCAGATATGCTTACATTTTTACGATAGTTAATTTAAAACTTGGAAAACAAGTTCATGTGTTAATATATTTTCGGTAATTTTTATGTTAAAAAGCTTTACTATTTTATATAAAAACTAAAAATGACTGCAATGTTTATTTTTATCTTATTAAACGAAAAAAACAAGAATATTTGCATAATTATGGATGTAATAAGTGCTTATAAACTAAGCTTCAATAATAATAAACATAAATAAACACTCCATGTGACATACAAATTAAAACTTGTTAAACACTAGTTAAGTGAAGATAAAATACAGAATAACTAAAGCCATCGAAATAATTAAAAATATATATATTTAACCAATTATTCACATTATTAGTAAAGAAGAATAGTGTTAATGTAAGAGCTGATAATGGTTGTTTCTGAAAATTTCAAATTAATAATTACGTCTATGTTTAGAAGGATTTATATTGTACTTATTTTTTAATTTAAAAAATCTGAATACGAAGTAGATAATAATTCGATAGTTTTCGTATTTTTTAATTATTTTAAGAATAATTCTGTTATTAGCATTACATAATATAAAGGACAGTCAAATGTTTAAAAATTTGAATTATTTGTTGAAACATTTTACAGTTAATTTTCTATTTACACATTTTAAAAATAATTTTCAAATGCAATCTTAATTTAATGTTTAAGAATATTTTAGTCCATAACCTTACAGAAGCACAAGACTAAGACAAATACAATAACTATTTTTTTAAAAAATATATATGGAGTTAAAGTTCAAGCAGTAATACAAAATACTGTTTAGAGATAATTTAAATTATTATTTTTAGAGTAACATTTAATAATTGAAGACATAGTATGAAATATTAAGAATAAAGCTGACTATTTTTATTAAATAGAAAATTCATGCTACTTCCTTATTAGATGTTGAAGTGCTTAAAATTGTAATTATCTCGTTACCTTAAAACTATTTTACATGCATTTTAAATGAATTAAGGAAATATGTAATTTTGTCTTATTGATATTAAATATTTTACGAAAAGAGTGTAAAAACATTAAAGCTATTTATTTAATTTATGAAGTAAATATAATTTTCTTACTGTTATTTAATCCATATATTTATATTTTTAATCCATAAATTATTAATCCATATATTTATATTTTTCAATGCATTTAACTTGCCCATTTACTTATTTAAATGTGTTTAGAAAATAACACTTANATCTTAATTTAATGTTTAAGAATATTTTAGTCCATAACCTTACAGAAGCACAAGACTAAGACAAATACAATAACTATTTTTTTAAAAAATATATATATATACATATAAAACATATATGTCCACTTCCTTTAGACTGTTTCTAACAGTGACAACAGCAAACAGCACCAACAATAATAAAACCTATCAATGATTATGTTAAAATATCAAATTTCATATACAATATTCTTCTGTTTAAAGAAGTAATATTATCTTATATGTAAAACTCTAACAAAATAGTTTAAGAAAGACATAATAGCTCGTGTATCTAATTATAAGTCAGGTAACTTATAGTTCTTTAATGACTAAGAAAAGTAGCAGAGATCTTACTAAAAGATGTAGATCTTTTAGTAAGTTAGACCTATTACATTTACATTACCGAAAATAATATAAAAGCCATAAATATTAATATGCTACAGTAAGGTTATTTTTTGTTGAGATTGTATCTAAATGACCCGTCAATAGTCAATTTTAAAGATTAATGATTAGATGGACTTATAGCTATAGTTTTAAGTTGCATCGTTTACTTCGACGAAATGAACATTTCAGTAAAATAAATCTTATATAATCTTTAATAACATGCTATACTGTACTTTAATTTAATTTAGTTAATTAATTTAATAATAAATCATTTTATAATATTTAGTAGTAATTATTAGTTATAACTAATAACTAATGTTATTAAATTAGAAATTGACTTGTTCTTTCTGCTTTTTTATAGTGTTTATTGCACAAGACTTACATTTATATAAATAATGATCGTATATTTTCAAACTTTTCAAAATATATGATGATAATTTATGCAAAATATTAAAAAAAAAAACAAAATTATTATGAGAAATATACTTTAATTATTATTTGTTTTGCAATTTTTCTCATTTGTTTTTTAAGTAAGAGTAATACGTCGATGTGTGATTTTTGGGTTTTTATAATAGTCTACATTTAATCAGTAATTAAATCTAAAATAGGTTAATAATATTATACATGGTGTGTATTGAAATTTTTTTGTTTTGAAATTTGTAAAGTCTATTGTTTTTAATGTATATGTTTGTAAAATGAAATTAATAAAAAACTGGCGCCTTGACATTTACGTATTTTCCTTTCTCTCTCACTATCTTCTCACAATTGTATAAAGAGTTCCTTTTGTCGAATCAAACTTTTTTTGTTTATCCTTGAACGAATTCTGCTGTTACTGAATACCATATATCAGAATTTGGTTAAATCCTTTCTTCGATGCATGGCCAAAGTCACACAATGGAGATAAACGTGCACAGGAAATAAAGGTTGACAAGAAATGCTAAACCCGACACCTGAGTTTCGTAATGTTTGTTTATTCTCTATCCTACAGAAACAGGGTGACCCAGATCTCCATCAACTCAATGGACAAATAGGACTATGGAGGTCAGAAAGTCGGAACAGACCATCGTCTTTCTAGTGAGAAGGGAGTGCCCTTGTTCCCATCAGAGCTTCACCATAGCTTGTCATAAAATTGAGACTGGAGTTTACCTTCACTTACGCTTCAATTATATTTGTCATAAATGTTAAAATAAACAGCTTAGAAATTCGTGACTGGCGTTTTGTAAGCAACAAAGATGCTTAATCTCAATTTTGCAAGAACAAGATTTTACTAAGAGTGAATTAGATCCTATTAAACTAAGCACGATTATTTTAAAACCATTAGGTTATCATAAAAGAAATCTTTTAAAAGGATGCTTGCTTCAAAATACTTTCCAAAAACTTATATTCTACTCAAGTACTAATTTACAATGAAGACGAACTTAATCATTTCTTTGAAGGTAAAAGTTGAATCTAGTTTCTGTAGAAGTGAAAACTGTAATCGCGACCGAATCCTCCTTTAAAATTTAATATTTGAAAATAGGTTTTTTAGCCTGTAAAAATTAGGGTGAAAAATATCTAATAAGTCTAATTAAAATAAGCATGCACTCATTAAACGTTTGTTTAGTTTTGTAATTTTTAAAGATGTTTAATGTAATTTTAATTTATACTAAATTTTTGTTATTAACTATTATTTTTTATTCAATATAACACTATATAAAATAGGATATAAGGTGATGGGCATATATCAACTTAATACATGCTCAATCATTCAATTTCTAGTTACAGAAAAATCAAAAATGTAATTATTTAAATTGTTAATCAAGTCCTTAAATTGTTAATAAATAATTTATACATAAAGTTTGCATCTTATTTCACATATAGATTTATTTAGATTATTAGACCATTAAGATTTATAGCTTACTAACAGCCCATAATTATAATTTAATTGCTATTAACGTTTTAGATTTTAAAAATGTCTAAAGCTCTAAAGAATGATAAATAATAATAAAAGAATATTTGGCTGAAATATTGTCAGTGGACAAACATTACAAATTAGAATTTTTATCAATATTTTTGAATCTTATAGTCAAATATTTAATGTAGAATAGACTTCATATTTAAGATATTTAGAATTATTTTTACTAATATGTAATTTATAAAATATAATATAAAGTCAAGTTATTTTTTACATAATCTTCTGTATTTGTTAGCCTATTTTATAAACAGGGTCATAGAGAAGGGAGGAAAGTTGGGAATTTTTCTCCGGGACCGGAGAAAACTTAGGAATCCCTAGTGGTTCCTATCTTATAAATTAATATTATTTTTATTAATAAAAAATCTTTAAGACTGCTTTTTATTAATAAACATTCTACTTATTTCATTTGTTCAAAAAATAAATGGCAAAAGGGGCCTGCTAAGAACCAACTCTATTCCCGGATCCCACATAAGCTCTCCACGGCCCTGTAGAGACATGTAAGTAAAGTTTACTGAAAAAATTATATTAATTAAGATTGTGTTTTGATACATTATAAAATTTACATATGAAGTAAATTATTTGATATTTTTAAGATTTGTTTACTTTTTAACCAAGATTACAGATAAATTACAAAAATATTTAATTAAGTATTTATTTATAAAAATTAAATTTAATTAATATCGGTTTTTTAAATGAAGATTGTTTTAGTGATGCAGCGAAATCAGTTTTATTTCCTTAACAAAAGTATAAAAAAAATCCCTTATCTCTACAAAGTGCATTTTCGTCGTTTAACTTTTTTATATATTAATGTTCTTTATTTTTAACAAAATGATATATAAAATTTTAATATTTTAAAAATGAAAATGATGAATGAAATAGAGCATTTATAATTGCTATATTAATTAAAATAATTTCTTTGTGTGAAATATTAATAGCGTATTCACCATCATTGAAATATAAACCTTTTACGATCTCAGTCACAAGTGGAAAAACATGATAGTTCTAAACCTGTATATCTTATTTCTGATAACTTATATTTTATT